TACGTACCGACCGTACTGACCGGTACGGTACAATACGGTTTTTACTCCTTTGGTTCCGCTACAAACTCTAGTACTCTACGCGTGTATTTACCGACTAACATGACAAAGATAGGCCAACAAGTCTTCACATGGGATATAGTTAATTACCTACATAAAATGAACCAAAGAGACGGGACCATGTAAAGAAGGGGGCAGCCAACCACCATTGTGGCCCAATGGTCACAATTTTTTTAACATCTAAAAGTTTAAGGTTTAAATCTTGATAATTTCCATTCTCAATCCTTTAATTGTACTAGTTCAAAAATATATATATATATATAGCCACCTCCCCAAATTTTTGAAAAAAAAAAGTATTTTAAAGCATGTTTTATATTATGGTTTGGAAGTAATAGCTAGTGGTTTATGCTAGGAATTAATAATGATAGGAAGGATGAAAATTTGGTACCAATGACATGGCTTATGTCACGATATTAAGTTAGTTAATGTATATAATATCACAGGTTCTAAAAAAACAAACTAATCATCATAAATTAGTCTACCTTTTAATATTTTTAAATAATGTAGTAGAAGTCATGTCGTTGATCACATATTTTGATATCAAATTTTGGTTCAATTTATCATTATTCTTAGGCTAAACCATTGAGGATATGCGTTTAGTAAATTTGTTTATTTTGAAATTGTTACAAATTAGGTATTTGGTAAAAAATTTTATTTTACAATTTGAAACCAACAAATAATAGTTAGGGTTAAAACCATTAGTGAATTGAAAAAGTTACATTAAGTAACTTTTTGTATCACACCACTAACAGATTGAAATTTTTTAATTTTATTGACAAATTTATCTATATTAACTTTTTAATTTTTTGTCATGGTTTTTAATTAGTATTTATCTAATTAGTTTCAACTTCATTTTTTTCTCTTTAATTACATTAAATGATTATTATATTTTTAGTTTTTACTTTAATTTATCCTAAAAAATTATATTAGTTTGACAAACAATATTTGCTAATTAAACAAAATAATTTAAAATTTGTTTTTACTTTAAAATAATATAATTTTTCTTTGTTAAAAATAGAAATGAGTGTGTGATTTTATTTTTATATTTTATTTATTTATTTATTTATTTTCTTCTTATTATTTTATAAAATTAATAATTTTAATAATAAAAAATATAAAAAGAAAAAAATTCATTTAAGTGCTTTTAAACATATCCTTTCTAATCATTGAATATTAAATAACAATTGTTAATTATTATATCACCAAATAATTATATCAATCGAAATGCTATCTTCTATTTACTACTTACTTTTTGTTATCACCACCTAGTATCCACCAATCGTCATTTGCTATTTACTACTTACTATTTATTGAATTTTAACCGTCATACCAAATAATTTCTTTGTATCAAATTTCTATCTTTTTCTAGTATTTATTATCCCTAAACACTAGTATTAATTTTGATAATTTTAATAATTAAATTCAAATTAAATGTAGAGATAACAATGAGTGGATTTCCTAAAGATTATTCATCAAACATAAAAGCTCTTTTAATTTCTTAATTTGATAACAAAACAAATTGACAAAAAAAATTTAAAGTTTTAACATATTTCCTCTCTCCCTTTCCCTCTTTGCGCCTTGCTTTGTTTCCTAGAAAAAGGTATAGGTAGATGTTTGATGATTTTCTTTGTTTTGTAATTTGATGTAATTTTTTGTTTCAAATTCTAATTGTTTATAAAATATGAATTTTTTCTCATTTTCTAATTAAGTTTTATTTTATTTTTTTCCCTAGAATGCATAAAAGAATTATTCTTTATAGGACATTGATACATATACTCTATAATTTAACACATTACACAATATACTCATTAAATAATTATTATTTTTAAATTTAAATTAAAAAAATTAAAATTATAAATTTGAATAACTAAATCAGTAAGCATCGACAAATATGTTGAACTAAAAGATATATCAATCATTTTATTCTTTATATATAATCGCCAAAATCCCAAAAAACATGTATGTTTTCGATAAGACATATCAAATTTCTTTATCCTATCATATGAGTTTGGTGCTACTATTTATTAATGATCACTTTATGTCTCCTTTCTTTTCTATTTATATGGATTGCCTTTTTAATGGGATTCGATGTTGCTCGTACTTTTGCATTTGCTGCTTTACACCTGATGAAATGAAAAATTGAACTAAAATTACTACTTTATCCTTCCTTTTTTGGCTTTCACGAACTTATCCTTCCTAAACTTCGACATAAAACAAATAAAATCAACAATTTATTGAAGGGAGGAAAAGAAATTTAATTTTTTTAAATAAAATTTTGAATTTAAATCTTATAAATAAATAAACAAATATTGTAAGAGTTTTTTTCCTAATAAGGTCTAATGTGGCTCTTATTGAAATTGATTAGATATAATGTTTCTTTTGAATACCAGGTTAAATAAAAGAAATAAATAAATAAACCTATCTAAAAAATAGTTGGGTGAATATCATGAGAGTGGTCACCCAACTTTGGATGATCCAACATTTTGATCACCCAAGTTATACCACTAACAATACTAGCACGGCAGGGTAAGGGACTCTGAGCATTTTTTTCTTCCAGTTTGAAAAGAGTTCTTGTGTGACAGAAAACATAGCTGACAGAGTACCTCGGTTGTAATGTGTGTGTGTATATATATACATGGGTGTTATATCTCTAAAAAGCCCTTAATCTTCATGTTTTAGCCCTTCAAGTTACAAGTCAAAGGTTTTAGCCCTTTGATTAGCTTTTTGGCTTCGACTATGGTTACTTTAATGCTTTTGGTTTTTCTTAACAAGTCCTTTAACTTCCTTAAAATTTTCACCTAAGCCCTAAAACTTTGAGACTCTTGGCTCTAATACCAAACTCTACACATAGATAAATTTCACACACACACAAATAGACTTATTTTATAATGATACAATTACACAAATGTAATATACTTTATGCTGCTAATAAAGATAACATTTGCTTAGGACACTTCAATCATTTTAAATTTGCTTTTAAATATGTTACAAAATTTTCCAATTTTTGAATAAGTTTTGGCAAATGAAATTCTTCAGGATCCTCTATATTGCTAATTTCTACTAAAATTCTTATTATTTTATTCATATAATATTTGCACTAGTGATCATAGAAATTAACATCATCTACATAATCTAAAATCAACTCTCGCAATACTATGAGTTTCTACATGCACCAATAGTCCTTATTTCGTTAGCCCTAATTGTAGCTTCTAATAACTTTATTAATTCTTCTATAAATTCTAATTAAAATATTATTTCCTCTAGGTTCTTAGTACTATTCAATTGATCCCATTCTTCAGCGTTTCTCTGATGTCTAAATCTTAGTCTTTTTAAAGAGGTGATCTCTTCATTAAGCTTTCTATTATTACTTAATTCTAAAGCATCAACTATAATTGCCAATTGTTGTGATGTATAATTCATAGATTCATACCTTACTTAGTGTATATATATATATCTCTACTTCTTCGTTAATGACTATACAATTCTAAGATAGATATTAGTAGTAGTGACACTCAACAATATTAACCAAGCATATAATAATTTTTTAAATTGGTCTTACTTCAACCTAAAGCCCACGTTGCTTTGTCTATTGCCTCTTTGAAGATCACCAACTTAGATTATTGTGCCTCACTTTAAGAGCTTAATGCCAACTCACCGTCCTTACAACTTTCAACTTGGTAAGAAGTAGCCCAATAAGATCCATACACAAAGTTTTGAGCTGAATAATTTTTAAGATTTTAGGAGATAATACTCATACAGTTTTCTTTACAGTTTCTTGATAATTCTTTGGGTGAAACCAAAGATTAATTAAGAGTTGCTGCTACTTGCTGTGGCATTAATTTAGTTGTTTTTGGGACTTTTGAGTTAAGAAAAGTATAAGTACTACAATCTTCTTCCTTTTTTCTTTTTTCGTTCTTTTAATTGACATTTTTTAATTAATTTTTGCCATCACTTTAATTTTAAATACAATTTTGATGGATTAATCAATTGTGTTTCACCACCTCGTGTCCCGATCTATTATTCTATCTTGTTAATTTGGGTTGATGTTAGTTAAATTTTATGTTTTTATTTTTAAAAAATATAATTTATTAAAAATCACAAGATAGATTTTTAATGTATTTAAATGTGTTATTTGTTATTGTATCATAATTTTCATTTTCATTGTTATGGTTTTTACACATTTGTGAGTGATTAATTGATTTTATTTAGACTTAAGAATCGTGGTATAAATTTGTCGTTTCCGGTGTATCTATCCCACTCAAATAAGTAATTTCTCCTTCATTTTTCTTGAAATAAAAGTATGCCAAACTACATTAGAGTAGATGTATAAATTTTTTCCTTTATATTTTTTTAGAAATTTAGTTTAGAAAGAAATTAAAAAATTTATGATTAGTAGTTGGTAATGTATGATTAAATAAATCAAATTAATTTTCATGAAATAATGATTTTATTATGCAATTGATTGATGACTTTTATTAATTAATTGATTGATTAAAGAATTGTGATTATATTCTTTTATTGTGAAGTAAACTATAATTTATTAAATTATTTGATTGCTAAAAAAGGATAATTATAATTGATTGATTAACAATTCATAATTAATTAATAAATTGTGATTATATGCTTTTATTGTTAAGTAAATTATAATTAATTAAATTGATAAATAATACAACAAAATTAAATTGATTGATTAATAATTCATAATTATATATTTAATTGCTAAGTAAATTATGATCAATTTAATAACTTAATAAATTAAAAAATTATGATATAATTATTTACTTGGATGATAAATAAGTATCATCATAATATTCAATTAATTTATTATAAAATTACTATGTGCTAAATGTACAGTTAACACATACTTTGATAGCCAAGATTACTTTTAGAGCAAAATGGATAGTCAAGATTACTTTGATAGCCAAATGGACAGTCAACCATACATTGACAATCAAATAGACAGTCAGCCATACTTTGACAGTCAAATGGATAGTCAACCATACTTTGACAGCCAATATGATGGTATAATTTCTTTTTCCTTTTCCCTCCCATAATTTTTTATTTCATGTTGCTGCATACCATTTACTAACAAATTAATTAATTTAATGTTAATTTACATAGGAATTGTTGAAGATACTCCTGAAGCATTATGGGATTATCCATCTCGAAGTTCTCCAAGGAAGAAGTTGATAAATGCAAGGAATCATATAGCAATGCCTCAAGACATTCCATTGCCTAAAAAAGAAGACAACATTATTTGCCAAATATGTGATATTCCTGGACATTTAGCTACTATATGCCCGCATCGATATGCAGTAACTTGTCAATTGTGTAACCGTGAGGCTCATATTGCAAATGTTTGCCCAAATTGTTACCGATCAGAAATCATGTCAAACCTATCCAAAACACCTGCTGTGTAATAGCCCAAAATTTCTAGAGCATTAAAGTGAGTTAGGAACCTAATTGTGAAGAAATATTATTAATAAATTTAATAGCAAATATTTTCAAAGTTCAAGGACTTAAAAGAAAGGAAATTAGGATAAGGATCAAGGCT